GGTAAGCCCAGAGCTCGAATCTTGCAGGCAGCTTTCCGATAAACCTCAAGTATCGATCGAGAGGGTCTTGAGTGTTCGGGTAAGTGCTGCCTGTTACCCAATTTGTAGCAAAGTGTGCACCTTGAGGCATGCCAGCTTTAGGGAGGATCGAGAGCTCCAAATAGAGTCAGATGAACTGACGTTGTCCGGTTGGGTGCACATGAATTTGTCGACTTGAATGTAGCAACCCCTTGCGATTGCGGGTGAGTTGGAGCTAGAAGACAAGTGACTATTAAAAAGCAAAGAAAGGGAGGGCCAAGAATCAGGGGATTAAAAACAGGGGATAAATGTGAACTTCGAACGGAAAGCTAAGAATGAAAACCGTAAGAGGAGTGATAAGAAGGCCGGAAGGCCTGAACAGTAGTATCCAAACATATATCCACCCTGCTCGATGCAACAGATAGGGCGCCGTTGATTATCCTCTGCGACGACCAGAGCTTCAAGACATCGTGAATAGAAGTTCATGGATTTGTATTGTGTGGACAGGATATGGTCAGGTTGCCCACGCCTAAACAGCAGAACGATCAGGGTTCAAGAACCTCATCCCAAGCCGGTAGATTTAACACTGGGATACAGAAACTCCGTTTTCTGGAGTAAGGTGTCACCCTCACTCCCACTTCCAACCTAGGGTGCCAGGAAACTGAGTTTGTCTGGGCACTCTGGTATGAGTGGCTCTGTTGATGCAGAAGCACCACTCATCATAGCTCATTAGATCTTTGAGGTACATAAACTACCGCACCTCGCTGCGATGGCGAACGTGAGATCGGATTGCTGAAGTAAAATAATGCCGCAGGATCTGATGATCTACATCCAGCCCTCTTCAAATTCAAGGGTCCTGCTCTCCTTGACGATCTACACTTCATCATCATTATACACAGTAGGTGGAGTTAGAAAACACTTCAGCTTCTGTGCCACAATGCATGCGAGTTGCTATTGAAACTGTGGAAGCAGGAAACTGTCCCAATCAAATGAAGCCGCTCCGTTCTTGTCCCGATCTTCAAAGGAGTTTCATTTTCGGGATACGGCAACCATAGAGGAATCAGTCTGACCTCCATCGCCTCCAAATTGCTTGCCTCTGTCATCCTTCACAGACTGACTGGCACTCGTAGAAGCTATATTCGTAAAGATCAAGCCTTGTTTCGTCGAGGTCATGGCTGCATTGACCACATCTTTACTTTGCGTCAGTTGTTGGAGCACCGCCATATTAGTTGGCGGCCCACCGTTGTCGTGTTTCTCGACATTAAACATGCCTTCGATCCCGTGAATCGATGTGCCTTTTGGGACTGTGCTAAGGAAACGTATACCCGTGAAGTATGTAAAAATTATGCGAGCGCTTTGCGCGCGTAGCTCTGGCAAAGTGAGTGCTTACTGCAAGCTGTCGCCGCCTTTCAATATCTCCAGCGGTGTAAGACAAAGATGTCTGCTGTCAGCTTTCCTCTTCGACTTCGCTATTGATGAAGTCATGGACATTGCGTTCAGAGTGCACTACTTAGAAGGTGTGTATCTGTTCCTAGGTGAACGACTTCTTGATGTGGAATATGCTGACGATAATGCCCTCATCTATGACAGCTCGCAAACATGCCAAACGACACTAGGCAGATTAGCACTGGCTGTCAGTCGTTTCGGGCTATGCTTTGCTCCCTCGAAGTGCGAAGGCTTCTTCCAAGATTGGCAGGGTCCGCCTCCTGCGTTGACCCGTGGTTGGGATGAGCTAGAAGGCGTTCAAAAATTCAACTACCTAGGCAGTGATATTAGGGCCGTTGGAATTGGAAACGAGATCATGATCCGTGTGACAAAATCTCGAGACGTTTTTGCTAACTTCGATATCTATGGCGCCGGCACGACATCACTCTCTCCCTGCGATGTAGAATGCACAGTGCAGCCGTGCGTTCGCACCTGCTGTATGCTTGTGGAACCTGGCCCGTTAATTCGTCAGACGTAAATAGGCGAGTTACGTTCGTCCACCGTTGCCTTCGCTATTTAGCTCACATTTGGTGGGACCACCGCGTGAGCAACGGGCGTGTTCGACGCCTTGTTTATGGCACAAGAAGACAGTGTACCACTCGGCACCGTCGGCCGGTGGCCGAGTGGTCGGCACGTTAGCTTTCCAACCATAAGGTCACCGGTTCGAATCCGCGTAGGGGTGGGCGTCCTCGCGGTATACTCAGCCCGCGCGCGACTGGTGGCGGTCGCGCGACAGCGAAGCGCCGTTACGGCGTATAAGCTGACACATTTCATTTTCATATTTCATATTTCACTCGGCACCGTTGTATCCCACACTAGGCTTCGATGGCTTTGCAGCATGTTGCGCCTACCAACCCACCGACTCCCGCGACGTGCGTTGCTTGCGCACCGTTGGTGCGGATGGAAATAGAGAAGGGGTGGCCGAGCGATGACTTGGTCAAGACGAATGAACACCCTTACTTAGAAGTTGGCCTCGGTTGGAGCCGGCTCACTGGTTGGGGACCGAAGGATGATGAGCACGTTTGGATGGATTCACTTGTTGCTATGGCTAGGAGCCGATCACAGTGAGTTGTTTTGTCCCTCTCCTTCGAACCAAGATCTCCATTCATTTGCGTAATGGAATACTTCTTTTTGTGGCAAATTTGCCGGCTGTTAGCTCTGCGGAACGATGTCCATCCATTACTGGTGACTCAGCCGGCGTGTCTTTGCATCTTTTGTTTACTAAGATGTCGCGGCACAATAACTGAGGTGTCTTCCACTAGCTTACGTGTATAATGATGGAGCTGATAATTATATATATATACATACATACATATATATATATGCTGAGGCTGATGTCACATTCATGATGCTTCTTCATCGCAGTTGAGCTAAGCCAACTTACACTTAAACTAGGTCTTTTTAATGTGGATAAAATTCATTACATTTTATTTGGTTTGTTCTGCCTACTTGATAATTTTCTCCCAACTTACACACGTCGTTCATGCAAATTGTGATAAATTTGCGTAATTTTATCGCGTGGTATTTTTAAATAGCTTTCGGCCATTTTGTACTTATCACGTATTCACATTTAACCAATTTCTTCCAAATGCTCAATTAGCGAGTATCTATGTCGTCATATGCGTTTACTTTATTCGATATCGGCATTTCGAATGATTGGCTGTTGCTTGACATCCCAGGTGTGGCTGCGTTTGATATGCATGTTGACAAGGTTCCTACCTGTCTAGTACCCACTACGTCGTCCATATGGCTCCAGGAGACAGTTAGTCGTTGCTGGAGGAGACGGGGTGCACGTTCCTTGTGGTCGCACCAGGCTCGAAGAGTGGTTCCATGCACTCAATGTGGAGCGGACTACGGTCCAGCCACCGCCTTTTGTGCACTTGATTCTCCAAATACAGCGTGCTTGTGTTTGCCTGTGAAGGAGTGGGGACCGGCTCCGTTGATGAAACGTGGCTCCCATCCGCATGCCTCCCGGCGTTATTCCTTCGGGTTTACACTGGATATGGGGTATGTGGTTGGAGCTGTGGGTGGTGCAGCGCAAGCCATCCATGGTCCCTCTGTAGGCGCAGGCGTCCTGTCGCTTGTCGCAGTGAAAGACAAATCCGATAACGGATGCCGCCAACCATATATATATATATATATATATATATATATATATATATATATATATATATATATATATATATATATATATATATATATATATATATATATATATATATAGCTATTTCCTTCCTATGCAACTAAGTTCACCGCTACGGTGCACGCATAGTTGTTAAGTTCACCTGACCTGAATCTGGACGTTTGAGCTATTGTCACGTTTTTGATTCTATTGTGCTCTCTCTTGAAGCCTTGTTAGTGGCGTTCACATGCACCCATTAATAATCACTGTTGGCATTTGATCTGCCTTTGTGCTCGCGATCCTTATGAGTCGGAGAGCTCTTACAGCTGGAGGATCTCACCGTTTAGTTTTAGCAATGATTGTCAGTGGTTCCCCTTTTGATAGGAACATTCACCAAGGAGCTAACTGCCTCAAGACACATTTCTTTTTAGGCTCCTCTAGGTGAGGGTCCGAATCGAGCTGGTTTCCATTTCCTAGAAAATATTCCATTCTGTGGATCCTTTTCAGGTTCCCGTTAGATTTTTTTGACGGTTTTCGGTTTGGAACTCGAATTATCCTACCTACTTCCTGAGTGCCTGTCAACATATATATAAGCTTTATGATTGTGTGCGAGCGAAGCCTCAGTACAGCTTGTTGAAGTGAACCTCATCTTCGGACCGCGCACATTATTGCCGAACGTGGTGATTCTCATTTGGATACACCTCAGTTTTGGATATTGCGCCACATTCCCATTGGCCCCTAACTGTTCTGTTCCGGCAATCGCAGTGCTATCGTATTCGATACGGACCAATTTGTTTCTGCTGTTTCCTACATTGTCAATCGTCCTTCTTTAACGAAAGCCTATTCGTTAATCAATCAGCTTCGCTGTCTTCCGACGACCAACTAGTGTAAATCTTAGCATAGGTACTGTTTTACTTTTGCATCGACGTGACCTTGTACTAGATCCATCTAGCGAGCGTTCCTATTCACGTGACCACTTACGCAGACGGTCAGCACATCTCACCTTATGCCTAAACACAGATGATCGCTTTCCGATCGTTCGATTCTCTCTTGACTGAACACACATTATCTGTCCATTTGATAAGTATCCCCTCTGTCGGACCGAGGCAACATGCGGAGGTGGCTGCAGTCATTCGACTTCATTAAGGTGTTTGTCTCATCTATGACTTCCGGGGGAATAATGCACTTCCCTGGGGTCATGGCCATTATTCTCCATAGCAACGCAGTATTAGCAAATGACACCACTTGTTTGAGACTATCTTTACCGTTTGAGGTTGCACCATTGATTGTTATTTTTGGTCCGTACACTCCAGTAGCGTTTCGTAAACTTCAACTTAACCTTCTTTCTGTTGAAACGTTTCTCTTATTTTTGAAGCCCACATGACCGAAGCAACGGATTGCGTTGAGCCACCATCTAGTAGGTTCTTGTTTCTGCATCTGAAACGCGCACCTTGTAATCCATCAATGTCGCCTTCCCAGCACTCCGACTAACTTTCTTATCCCCTCTCTGGTCGTTAATTTATATCTAACCACACATACGTACTATTTGTGCTACCATTATCTTATCTGCACATGCCTCAACCATGATGGCGAAGTTAGACTGCACATCCTCTCATCCGTTTCTTCTTTTTTCCCCAATCTTTGAGCACTAATCACGTGTTGTACATGTGTTCGTTACACACATGTATTTTGCTGTTCTGTATTTTGCTTCAGCGTTCTGAGGACCTGGTGCCAAATTTTCTTGGCGCTGTGTTCTAGTCTTTATCGCACCTTTCTGCTTTCGATAATCTCCTCTTCTTCCTGTCCTCGGTCACCCTTGGGATTTTGTTTTACTGATACGAGAGCGGTCCAAGTAACGATATGCGACTGCGTTTCTCTTTATAAACCCCCTTTCCATAAAAATGCATTTATATCCACATTTTGCTATTACGTGCAATCCTTCAATTAGCGTGAGGAAACACACAAGTCAAGACATTGCTGCTGATGTACATCCTGAGCTTGTTGAAGATTATATTCATAGAACAAACATACTTCTCAATATGGGTACGCGTACTCCAGTCGCCTGTGGATTCGATCTCATCCTTTGTAAGCGCGTTATGCCTCGCTGATTGTCTACAGGGCTCCAGATTTGGCCATCCGCATTGGCGATGCGCACTGGATTACGTTATTTGTCCCCTTCGTTGGGACCGTGTGATTGCATAACTGCGCTGAAGTTGAATAAGACCGCTGGAGCAGATGATTTTCATCCAGCTCTCTTCAGTTTCGGGGCCGTGCTCTCCTTGACGATTTACACGAGTTACTGTTGAAACTGTGGAAGCAGGAAACTGTCCCAATCGACTGGAGCCCCTCACCCTTGCTGGTCCCAATTTTCAAGGGCGGCTCACTTCCGGAATGCGGCAACCACAAAGAAATCAGTCTGAGCTCTATTACTTCCAAATTGCTTGTCTCTGCTATCCTTCACAACCTGACTGGCATTCGTAAATGCCAGATTTGTGTGGAGCAAGCCGGGTTTTTACCTTGCATCAGTTGTGGAAGCACCGTCACATATATTGGCGGCCCACCGTTGTCGTGTTTCTCGACATCAAACATACCTTCGTTTCCGTGAATCGATGTGCCCTTTGGGACTGTGCTTAGCAAACGTATACCCGTGAAGTATGTAAAAAATTATGCGAGCGCTTTGCGCGCGTAGCTCTAGCAGAGTGAGGGCTTACGGCAAGCTGTCGCCGCCCTTCAATATCTCCAGCGGTGTAAGACAAAGATGTCTGCTGTCAGCTTTCCTCTTTGACTTCGCTATTGATGAAGTCATGGACATTGCGTTCAGAGTGCACTACTTAGAAGGTGTGTAGCTGTTCCTAGGTGAACGACTTTTTGATGTGGAGTATGATGACGATATTGCCCTCATCTATGACAGCTCGCAGACGTGCCAAACGACACTAGACAGATTAGCACTGGCTGTCAGTCGTTTCGGGCTATGCTTTGCTCCCTCGAAGTGCGAAGGCTTCTTCCAAGATTGGCAGGGACTGCCTCCTGCGTTGACCCGTGGTTGGGATGAGCTAGAAGTCCTTCAAAGATTCAACTACCTGGGCGATTTTATCAACGCCTGTGGACTCGACGAAGCGAACATAAACCATACAGCAAAACTCAGTGTGCTTTTGCTTCTTTCCGTTATCTGTAGGTTTGCTACGATATCACTCTGTCTGTGAATGTTTCAGTAAACAGTGCAGCCGTACCTTAGACAGCTGGTGCCTTGGCAGTTTGGCTCAAATCTGGTGGGAATACCGCGTGAGCAACGAGCATGTTCGACGCCTTGTTTATGCCTTAGGAAGAGGAAGGGAATCGCCCAGCATCGTACTTCACTGACTTGTCTCCGATGTCTGAGCCACTTGTTATGCATGCAGGCATACCGACTCCGGCGATGTGCTTTGTTTGCGCGCCGGGTTTGTGGATGGAAGAAGAGCAGGAGTGGCGAACCAATGATTTGGGAACGATTAATGACTTATTAATGATTAGTCGAAGCTCAGGTCCCTGATTGGGGTCCAAAAGACGATGAGCACCTTTGGCTGGATACACTTGTTAATATGGCTAAAATCCGACCTCTATGGCATTTGTGTTCTTTTTCTTTATCCCTCCCCCCTTGCTATGCCCTCTCCCCAACCACGATTTCATCTATTAGGCATCGTATAATTCCATTTTTGTGGCACACTAGCCGTAATGAGTGTTCCAAACAACGGAACACTAGTTTCTTTGCCACTGCACCTGGTCTTTATGTAACTCGTTGGCATTTTAGTGAGAGTATCTGTCGACAGTCTCCCCGTCTGTTCTTTGGATTATTCCCCAGACATCTACTAGGATGGTCTAAACGAATCCTAAACCGAAAATATGGTTTTGGAGACGGCCAGGACGGAGTCCGATTGTCTCGATCGAATAGTTGATGAGGGCTGAATAAACTAGCTAATTCCGACATCATTGTTCCATCATACTTTTATGTTGTTGCTAACTTTATTTCTCAATACACTTCTACCATGCTCTCTATAGTGAGATAAAAGGAAACTCACTAATACTAGCCAGCATTTGCTGGCAATGGTTTTTGACCTTCTACTGCGTTTTGGTTCAAGGTAAAGACCATCATGACGTTCGTGACTATTGGCGCGTCTGAACTTCTCCGACATTGCGGGTTTGGTGGGCTGAATGCTTGAAAAGATCGTTGCGACGATCACTAACCATATATTGCTATTGTGTCCAGAATCTGCTTAATGTCTCAACTGTGATCGCATGGCAGTGGACCACCACAAAACGATTAGTTTCAGCTGGCATCGACAAGACGAAACAGTTCCTTAACAGAGAAAAACACGATTGATTCGTTTAAAAACATGATCCGAGTAGCACCTGGTCAATAAAATTAAGCCAAGATAGCAGGCACAAACGAAACTCCGGATCATTCGTAGACTGCACTAACAAAGACTTCTCACGACTGATTGTTACCCCATCGGTAGCAGGTCCTTTTTATTGTAACTACGTTTTTCTAGATTCCCAGCGCTTGTTCCGACTTTAATTGGGTAGCGTACCAACTCTCTTTGCATTCGTTAAACCGGCCCATGGCCTTAAGGATCACAAGTCTGCTTTGCACTCCGAGGGTGCGGGTTCGATCTTGCGTGGGGACCGGGCGACCATCGCAGTATCCTTAGCCGACGTGCGACCGGTGGTGGTTGGGCGGCAGCGAAGCGTTGGTATTGTGTACTGGTGATGCCTTCGCTTTACATTCGGTAATACCACAACTTGACATCGGAATATTTCTTGACCAGAAAGCGGCTTTATTCCCTTCTCGGAGGTTATGCCGTGTCTTTTCTCACGCATTGATTCCAACTGCCCATGGTGACACGCCTTTACCCTTTGCGCACTTTTTTAATACTAACAGTTGTGCACTTACCGCTTGTGTTGCAGTTTCTCCGGGTGCATTTGGTCCACTGGACGTATTCCTTCGTACCCTACTTATTCTCTTTTGTTTTCCGCTTTCCAGGTATGATGCGAGAGGTGGAGAAGTTGATTAATGAAAATATGGAGTTGAGCGCCACCAAGTGAGTGTTTTTTGAGCACCGCATAACAACAGCCTTGGTTGTTTGATTTATTCGATACCAAGGTTTCCCGTTGTGCAGGCCATTCGCGCTTGCGTTCACACTACGACAGAGAACGACATACCACGAACTTTCATGGGAGGAGCATGGCTACTGCTGTGTAGAGGCATGATTACGAGTGCAGTTGTCGCATCGGTGAGTAGCACTGGTAGTTTGTTGTCGGGACATATCTGCAACGACTCCATTTACTGACAGCTCGAGTTGATTGTTATTTTACTCAATGAGCTGGACAATTCCGTTCCAAGATTCTCATCCTCACGATGTCACATCGATTTGTGTCTATAACTATCAAGGAATTAAACCATTCGTCTAGCGAGCCTCAGCGTCTAAGCACCTGTTTTTTGGTTTCTGAATGGTGCGTTTCCTGTTCGGCGTTTTTCCACGCCTCAGGAGATTCGCCGCAGCTAGATCTAATCGGTCTATCGTAGCATACTGTGGGAGCGCTTCAGCTATGTGGTATTCTGTACGAACCTGGGTCCCCTTTCTTGCGACGCATCGACCAGTCATAGGATCAGAGTTGTGGAAATGTCTATACACTTCTCACCAGCTGAGCTTGGTTTGTCCTGTACATTTTTTCATATCTCTTACTGCTGCTTTGTTCTCTGAGGTCGTCAAATGGCTGCTCTTTCTAGGCAATCGTCTCCGCATCTAGTCTATATGACCACAATTGATCTGTCCGCTTTCTAATCTTACTCCCAACTGAACAACCTTGTCGTATGTCATGTGTGCACAGTTACTGAAGCCTGTCATCGTTACTCATGCCATGGCTGTCAACTTCCAGGCGGATATATCGACTGATACACATCCGAGTTGAATGTCCGTATAATCTTCGATGACCAAGATATCGTCTGTTATCTGCTGCTGTATTTGGTGGTAACCGATGCATTGGAAAAACATTACTTTTTTAGTCAGGATCGGGCTGTCGCAATACTGGACCACAACACAATAGCTTGACTGGAATTCATCCTATTGGGTTATTTTCCTCCGCCCAGGCAATAGGGAGGAAATGGGATTGGATATGGTTCTTGCCATCCTCCCGGCTTTATATGCGTTGACCTCATAACTGTGTCTTGGCGGCGCAACGCACACTGCGCTCAATGAACTGTAAGATGAGAGCGGACATCGCCCACCCGTCTGTCCAATCGAGAGCGCATATGTTCAGAGGTCACATATTTGGAGGAATCGTACGTTTGTTTATCACTAATGTGTTTTATTTCTCGACAGAGTGGGAGACTATACTTGCATGTCATATCTACCGTATATCCTTTGACCCTTCTTCCTCGACGTGCATTATACGGCGTCGTTGCACCAAGTTGAGCGCAACCGCGAGGCGACCAGTCGATAACCATGATTAAGAAATTGACTGAGTCTACATCAGACTGGTGCGTGCCGTCTTCGTGGATGAGAGTCATGTATGTCATGATCCACCTCAACGGTTCGAGTCCATACATGCATCGCTTAATTAGTGGCGGTCCCGTATTCGGTTACTAGCATGTAGCTGTTCAGTACATTTCCCTTGTATTTCGGCTACGTTCAGCATCATTTTCTCACCTCTGTTATTTATTGTCAATCTGGCAGCGTGAGACGCGGCAACTGGACCAACTTTAACTGAAACACCCGCATAGTACCAGGTCATGATGTGGGTAACACTTATACTTACTAACGTGCTACAAACAAATTAGGCCAGCGGGCTGGCTCGTAGACTTAAGGATCACAAGTCTGCCTTGTAATCCGAGGGCGCGGGTTCAAGCCTATGTAGCGACCGGCCAATCTTCGCAGTATCCATAGCCCACGTGCGACTTTTGGTGGTTGCGCGGCAGCGAAGCGTCTGTGTAGTAGAATGGGAAGGGTCGCGTTCAATTACTTTCTTGGTGTGCCGGCTCCTTTGCTTAAACACTTGGCTACGTCTCCGTTTTTAATTGTTCCAAATTTCTTCTGCTACATCCAACTTTCGTTTACTCTAAGTTCCTTTGTTAATCGCATTGTTAAACGTAATCATTGATATTTTGCATTCTCGCTATACCTATTTGATCAGAGCACTGAGGTGCACTGTGCGTCGTATTATCGAGAAACATGCTATTTATTTAATATTTCACGTGCAGACCAAATTGATAAAAACGATGCTTTTATCTTATCACGGTAAGAACAAAGCACATCTACATAGAAAATGGAAAATGTGGGAAAATTTGGCTATAGGTAGCAGGTCATATGTGGCGAAAAGCTATTGTAATAACATATCCATTTCGTCGGGTTACTATGCTTAGATATCCTGTTTCGCCACATCGGTTAACCGGCATTTCATATTGTTTAATGAGCATGCCTTCGTTATACTTGCAATAATTACTATAGTGACCATTCTGCACGATAGGATACTCTATTATCTACGTTTCACCAGTTTTCCTTTAGGATTTGCATGTGTCGGCTAACGGGAGTCCGGTTCTCGGTGTTGTGACGGATTACTATCAATTCGCTGAACTTAGAGCGGTGTTGGTTGAACCTCTGTTTTCCGATCGGTCAAAATCCGTACAATTTACTTTACAATGCCGTATTATGATGCTATTGCATGGGTCCTCGACAACCCCGTATGACTGGCAACCGGTTCTACACAGTATTCTGTTGATAACCACTCGGTGCTCGATCAATTTCATCTGCTGTGTTTGTTCGAATGCCTTCAGAAAGGTAAAACAGTGGGTCCCCTTCAGCCATTTGGTCAGAGCAGTGAGAAGACATATGTTGCGATATGTTAACATTTCGATTGTTCTCCTCAGTCGCAAACACAATACAAGCGGGATTCATGGACAGTTATATACAGGGGAAAAGCTTGGTACACCAATCATAATGTTAAAATCAAGACCACGGTAGCTTAATTGATTGTCTCAATAGTTTCTGTGCACACAACACAGGTTGATGAGTCCTAATTAGCAAGGCCTCACTAATTGCCAAGATTAGCGGATTGTTGTTACGTAACAACACCTTGAACGCAGTCTTCGGGTTCACCTGATGTCGGGTTGCCAAGAGATGCTTGGTGAAAGACGATGCGGGACTCCTGTTCATCCTCGGATCCACTCCGTTTTGTTGCGTCATCAGTTGTTCCAAACACCTCGGCACATGTTCAGCTACCCTCTGAGCTAACTGACGGTCAGTCCTGCCTAGGTAAATGTCACCGCAACCGCAGGTGAACTGGTAAACGACGTGAGAGGCCGAACTGACTGGTGAGTTGCTCTGACGGTCATGAAGAACAAGGCTTCGCGTTGTATATATGAGTCGCAACTGGGCGGTCGTGTAGGTGCGCGTAAGGGCGGACCGGATTTTATGTCCGATATCATTTGATACGTGGTCTCCTTTGAACGGCAAGAACAAGTAAACATTCTTTTTCTCTGCGGTTAACACCGGTATTTTCTCCTTGGGAGGCCTGCTGTGGATCTGAACGAACTTCTCAGGATACCCATTCGACACCAAGGTTTTGAACAAAAATTCTTCTTCAGCTTGCAACATTTCGGGGCTGCATATTCGTCTGGCTCTGTAGAAAAGCGTTTTCACTAGGCCACGTTTGTATGCGACCGGGGCAAAGTTGGAAAAGTGGAGGTACTGCCCGCTACCGTGGTTGCTACCGTGGTGCTACCGTGGTCTTGATTTTAACATTTTGGTTGGTGTACCAACCTTTTCCCTTGTATATAACTGTCCATGAATCCCGCTTGTATTGTGTTTGCGACTGCTGAGAACAAGCGAAATGTTAACATATCGCAACATATGTCTTCTCACTGCTCTGACCAATGTTTTCAGTCTGGCTTCTCTACTCACTTTCTTTACTGTAATGAATCTAGTGTCTCACGTTTAACTTCTGTACCTCAGGTTAGAATCCCAACTGCTGCATGGGTTTTGGCTCCCCTGCGATGTCCATCCATGTTTTTGCAACTCATTTGGCGGTGCAACATTCATGCTACTGATTTATCTATATTTCAAGTGGCACCGTTTCCTAAGTCTTGAAGTACAACGTCCTACTTTCTGCTCTTCGTTCACCCCTTCTCTCCTGCAGCTTTTCATGTTCCTCTTGTTAAGAGGCGTTAGGTCTTATCCTGTATCGTTTTGGTACCCAAATGTCTTCTTGTCTCCATCTCGAATGCGTTCCTAATGATCGGTGCGACCGATGTTTATTAGAAAGGTAATTTCGCTCTAACTTGTAATTGCGTGTCACAATCTAAACCCACGAAGCGCAGCGCTGAATCCCTGATTGCTGTCTCAAGCGTTTTTTTGTGTAGTTCGCTGACCAAGTGAACAAAATGTCAATCGCCGACCTGTTCATGCGGTGGTACCTTCCTATCTCTGGCCATCTGTCTTCACCTGAAGCACCCAATCAGGGGCGTTACGAGTGATAAGGTACAGTGTTGGAAGGGAGCGGCGATATCAGCAACGTCTCAGTTAGGCTTCCCGCTTTCTTCATTTTGTCTTGAGTGGTGATTTTCGCGCAAAGCACTTTTGTATGGGGTCATGCTCATGGCCCCAATCTCAACCTGCTCGCAGCCCCATCCCTGTCCATCTGCCAAGAAACGCCAGACGTTTGATACGCCGTCTTTCTGCTGCCCTGGATGCCGTTTACGCAAGCCACTTTTGTCACCGGATCATCCGGTATCATCTGCACTTTGTTTCGCACCTTTCATGTTTTATCTCCAACACGGAGACAAAGTGTGAGTCCCGCGACCTCTCTCTGTCTTTGAGAACTTGAAATAACAAGTGTTGCAACTGCTGTTAGTCATATGCGCTCGTTTAAGCAGTTGCAACTGCACATCCACTTCAATGTCTGGACCTTTTCTTCTCGGATCGGTTCAGTGAAACATGAGACGACCCGGTGCTGTCCGCTACGTTTTCGGTGAATTCTTTTGTTTCATCTAGCATGAAGATTTCTTCATTTTGCAGATTACTTCTTGCAACTCAGTCAGTGGATT